TTCGCCTCAGGTTCGTTGAATATTGTCGAATAATCTCCTTGACTTCATCTCGGGGATTATTCGACAATATTCACCTCGCCTTCGGCAAATAATTGTTAAATATGGGAAGTCTGCGTTTCGATTTTTCCATGTTACAGTGCTCGATACATAAAAGTAAAGCGCGATATATGTTGAGTTGAGAAAACAGAAAGACTACGCTTTCATCCCTACAAGCCTGTTTCGTGGTTTTCGCGAATCACGAAACAGGCTTGTAGGGATGAAAGCGTAATCTTTTATATTAGTCTTTGTATTTTCTTAACTCAACATATATATAGACATGTATATTTTCTCAAAGTCCTGGCTAATGACCGGGTCATAATAAACGTTCGCTTCCAGCCTATTAAAGTTGGAGGAAGCTTAAAAGCGAGCAGTTTTTCAGCGCCGTTATTCATCCTTGCCTATGACCTAATTAACCGACTAAAGACGAACTCTTGAAGTCGCTCTCTTTGTATCTTTCAACAAATGAAAACTGTTGGCAAGATTTTTCCAGATTGTTCATGAAACGGCTTTGAAATAAGTCCAGCTCGAGCTCTTTATTAGGAAACTACAACGAAAAATTTTCTTGACAACTTGAGAGAATCCCTAATCATGAACAGGTTCTCGAATGGTCTTGTACCCTACGGCAAGTTTGCGGCTAATTTTCCTCCTTAAGCTGCTCTGTCCCTTGTACAAAACAAATAGCCAGCGGCTCAAGCAATACTTTTTTTGTTCTAACCACATTTTTACGTCATCTGTTAGCATGACTGAACAGAAAATCGGAAAAATGAAACATATTGAATTGCGGCCTCACGTTCTACTCCATCAAACGTTACATAAACAGATGACGTCAAATTAGGCGAGAGCATTAACATTTTTTTTGTTCTGGAAACCACAGGCGAGTGTGTTGATAATGTTATAACCACATTTTGACCTCATCTATGACACTCATGATCCTTGACGAAAGAGGCACTTAGCAAAAAAGGAATCAGTTTTATTTATTCAGTGAAATAAAAGTAAAAGGGAAATAAAAAGTTGCTTCAAAGCTCTACACTGACTACATTGTTCTAGTTTTCTCTAGGTTGATGTTTGATTCTTGGGGTGTTCTCTTGTTTTCCTGTCAGTTGCATGTGAAAACAACCCTTTCTACCTTCTCTAAGGCCCTCACTTACTAATTTTGAAGTAATCGCAAACATCGTTAAATCTGTGGCTTGTGTTGGGCAAAACAAGAAAACAGCTCTACTATGACGTCAAAGCTTTATAAAAGGTTAATTGCATAACCGTAGACAGACCATAGTCCACTAGATGCTCTTGTGTGTGACTATTGTCGATAGTATACAGTCACTGAACTCACCAATTAGCCGGCAGAACAAGTGTTTCTTTTCTCTCTTTTTCTTTCTTTTCTTTTCCTTTTTTACGTTTTTGAGGCGGGCGGAGATTAGCGCGAGAAGAGCAATAAGGGCAAGTCATGTGCGAGGTAAGGAGCAACACGTTTGCCCTGCGCTTTTCCCACTCACCTCGGGCCAACCCGTGCTCGCCTTAAAACGCAAAAATACTGCTTGTTCTGCAGGCGGTATTTCACCTGCTGTCTAATGTCTCACCTCGAGAGCAACGAGGCGATCAAGTTGTAAAAGAATACACAATTATTCTAAAATCACTAATTAAAATTGATTTCAATTTCCCCAAAGTATGGTATCTTCAATAACTTTTATTTTTGGAAGATACCTGCACGATGTAAGCTAAATAATAAAGCGAGAGACAATTCACTTGCTGTGTATAGAATCTGTGAATCATAATAGTAAACAGCGTTAACTTTGTAGCTTTTATTTACCGGTGCTACCACCCAGTGATACTAATTTAATTCGTCTAAAACACAATTTAACTTATAGAGCACCATTATTTATCAAGTAATGAGAATCAGGTCGTCGTGATAAGACCTCCTGCCAAATAAGTCAACAAGAAAATCATATTCGAAGGACGCACCCTAAATTTTGCGCTGATCCAGTCTGAAGAATTATCGGAAGTGTTGACCAATGTTTGATTGTTTCATTGATAACAACATGATATTCTACTATTAATTGCTACTGGTTAGAATTTGCTTGGTCGAATAAATAGTGCTATATAACCGTGGTGCACCACTTGAATATATGTATATATTTATATATATATATATATATATATATATATAAAGTGTGACTTGATTTTCGTAGAACAGTGCTCAATACATAGAAGTAGAGCGAAGTATATATTGTGGGAGGAAAAAGACAAGTAAAATACAAGTTCATCCCTACAAGCCTGTTTCGTGGTCGCCCACTCATCAGGGGATTTTATTTACCGGTGCTACCACCCAGTGGTAGCACCGGTAGATGGAACCACCCAGCACAAATCCCCTGATGAGTGGGCGACCACGAAACAGGCTTGTAGGGATGAACTTGTAGTTTACTTGTCTTTTTCCTCCCACAATATATACTTCGCTCTACTTCTATGTATTGAGCACTGTTCTACGAAAATCAAGTCACACTTTATATATATATATATATATATATATATATATATATATATTTATATNCAGGCATGCTACTGAACTTAGCAAATATATATGGAGTCTTAAAGATAAGGACACTAAGTTTAATATTAAGTGGCGCAAGGTGAAACAAGCTAGTTCGTATTCCAATGTAGCTAAAAGATGCAACTTGTGTTTGTGGGAAAAATATTTTATCATTTGTAAACCGCAGATGGCAAGTTTAAACAAAAGAAATGAGCTGACATCAGGTTGCAGACATGTCAGGAAATTCCTGTTAAAGAACCTAACGTTACGATAGCGCGTGCAGTATGTTGCGCGCGCATGTATACATTGTTTCGTCTTTTAAATTTTGGTGGATTGTAACCGTTATTTCTGGCAGTTGCCTGACGATTGCTTCGCAAGAGGCATGAAACTCAGAGTTGCAGTAAAAGTTCAAGTAACCTAATTCTTGAGGTATAATTATATATATATATATATATATATATATATATACATATATTCAAGTGGTGTATATATATATATTTATTAAAAACTGGATCATTGGATAATGCAATTCAAGACTTTACACTGAAATGATGCCAAGGAAATCTGAGACGCATCTTTTCTGTTCACTAAACAATTTAAAGCAAAGCCAGTTCGCGATGGTGTATCAAAGGAAAAGGCAAAGATGAAGCGACTGCAAAAATGGCCAATGAGCACAGTTTTCCATCTTTATCGTCTTTCCCTGCATTGTTCAAATTCAACAATCACCTTGGTGGATTCCGTAACCTTGCTGCTATCGTCCAGTTTGTGCACAAGTTGCATGATTCCCAAACTTTTAACATCAGTTCCTGGACTTCGCGCTCGCGCTTGTGGTGAGTGGTAGACTTAGATTATGGTCGATAGCACAAATAAACATTTTTATGAGGATAGCTGACCTATCATCTGTTTGAAATCTTAATAAATAATTTTATACAAGCTTGTCTTGAGCATTTCTTCCACCATTAACAGTAGTTTGTGCGAATCCTTTCTACATGCAGTACCATTGGACTTCTTGCAAGCTCGACCAAGTTTCTTTTCTCATTTTTCAAAGTCCTCGATCGCTTTCACGCTGAAAACAAAAATTTCAAAAAAATTGAAATGAAACGATCATGAACGAAAGGACTAAAAAAAGGGGAGGGGGCGGAAGGAAGAAAGAAAAACTGGACTTAATTAATGAGATGGCATTTACAGAAGTTAAAAACTGAGAGACAAAAAAGCTCGATCAGGTGACATCATGTAAGGTAAACAGGTTGCCCACGTAGCTCTCTGATCACCTTTTAATATAGAGGAGAACTTTCGAATCTTACTCTTTTGAAACAAATCAAAAGATTTGAGACAGACGAACTCAAATTGTATCTAAAAAAAAATACGAACTTGAGTGAGATCTCATCAATATCTGCTAAAACGTTTTCCCAAGCAACATTCAGTTATGAGGTAATATTGTGACTTTTATAAAATCTATCAGAGTTCTTTCATATGTGGCCACTTTCCTCTTCTTTCTGATTGATTTTTAGCAAATCATCACCCGCCGCACGGATGGCCAGTCGTGATAGTCGAGTGGTTAGGACACCGTGTCATGGCCGCTGTAACCCATGTTAGAATCCTGGTCTCGGCATTTCTGTTTAATTCTATACATAACTTTTTGTTTGGTCGTGTTTAAACGTATATCTTTAACCATTTTGTTTCTTAAAAACATTTAATACTGTTTTTTCCTTTTTCTACACCATCAACTTTCACAGGTTTGACTGCCATGTTGTAAAGCTGAATTGATTTACTATGGTTCAACCCACATCACAAACGAGCACTACTTCCGCATGGCCCAAAAGTGGTCATGGGAACTATTTTCCAGACCGCTGACACTAGGAACTCACCAGGACACTTGACAGGAACACACTTTCTCCTTTCCTTGAGTTTTGTCGGACAACCTGCTCCACCATTCTTTTCACTTCTAATGATCTTCCTTACTCGAAATTTTCTTCCTCTGTTACACTTTTTAGAACATTCTGACCACGGTGACCAGCCTGTTACTAAGCAGTCTGACAATAAAAAGAAAGGAAGAAATGAAAGGTTCGAGAAACTTGCGGCAAGGCATTTTTTTGTTCTGGAGGAGTGTAATGGTGTCGCTGCACTAGAGGTGAAGGTCAATACTACGCTAACAAACGTTTGCGCCTCTACATTAAAGCGCTTCCCCGAAAAAAAGGACGCCTCATCACAGGTGAAAGTCAACGGGAGTTCAAAGCTTTTCCTATATATTCTTAAAATTTTGAAGCTAGGAGCGCATTTGTTTCAATAGTTGTCGCACATTCAAGTCCGAAATAATCACTGTGGCCGATCAGAGCGAAAGGGAATACCAGCAGGAGCCAGTGAGAATAAAAAATAAACACACCTATTCGGTGGAACGCGGGAATACGCCTTGGTGGAAATGCTCTTGGTGTTAAATACGCGTTTTCTTTTCGTTTTCATTGTTTCATTTGCCATAACGTAGTCTCACCGTTATTTTTCTCTGGCGGGCAATTTGTCAGCTTACACCGCCTCCATTTGATAAGAGAGTTGAAGTCTGGGCATGGATTCCCACCATGTTTTGCTTTTTGTAGAATTGTGCGCGAGCGAAATCGTCCACCTCTGTTACATGAACCGCGACATTCACTCCAAGGAGACCAAGGGGACAGTTTGCAGTTGACTGGTTTGGCCATGACAGGTTTATCTACGCGTTTGTCTACGCAAGAAAAGGTAATTGATTTGTTTACAACGATTGAATTATTCACGTACGAATGATTTCTGCAAGGAAAGACACTGTTAGAAACTAAAAAGTCCTTCACAACTGCCATGGGTCATCAGTGTCTTAGCGCAATTTCTTTTGAGTGGAGTTTTAATAACACGACTTAAGAGTTTAAGAAAGATAAGCAAATATTTAAACCCTCTAACTCTCAAACTAAAGTGATTAACGTGCAACTTCTCCCTGTAATGTCCACCAAACAGGTAATGAGAATACTCAAACTCATCACGTAGTTGTTATCTTGGTCTAACACCAAATTCCTGTTACTAACTTTCTAGGAAATATGTAGCAGGGGAGAATTAAGAGTCAGATCTTGGAAGCTGAAGAATTAGACGTGGTTTACGGGAGAAATTCGTCTATCGCAAAGTAGTGGGGTTTGGCTTGAGGGGGGGGTCGACTGTAAAATGTTTACATTTTGCTCCCTGATTGATGAGCGTCTACAGCTGTAGGTAGGTCAGAACGCTGTGAATAGAGTTTGCCGCAGAACATTTCAAATAACTGTGGTAAAACCATATTGCTACGGAATTGCATTTAAACGAGGAGTCCAAAACTTTTGCCATTCAATCCTACCACCACAGATTCAAGTTTTTGACAATTTTAAATCGACCTCATTACCTACCAAGACATGTGGGAAGCTTGCTGCAGACCCTTGACTCTACCAGCTGAGGACAAGGAATCCCATCATTCTTTGGCTCTTGGATTACTGCGCGACCCCTAAGCTGAACTCCAATACCACAAGTGACCGAGCATGGTCTCCACGACGACCAGCGAGAAACTTTACAATGAACTTTTGGCGCTGTTTATTAAAAAGCGAAAATTATGAATTTATAATCGAACCTAACACAATAGCGATTCGAAGCGACTCATCTCCAGTCAGCTCTTATTTTTAATAGGCTGCCAGGGGGTCTAGGGACATAAGGGCTACTACGACGAAGGGGAAGAATGGCAAGGAGATATCTCTCGTTTCGTCCCTTCCACCTTCCCGCGTGCGCACCTCTCGAGCACTTCCTATGTTAACATTTAAAAATAGAGAGACGTATCGTCGTGAGTCAGATTTTTGTTTCTAGTTTCCTTCGAGGCAGGCTAACATTTTGCAAGATGATCAAGCCGTAGCATATGGTCAATCAATATTAACAGCTGTTTTAATATCCTAACCTCACAGGGCATTTGAATGTCTGTTTTTTTTTTTTAGAGATGCTGTTCCATGGTGTTGTCTAACTCAAGTTCTGGCATCCGTCTGATATTCTGACTTTAATCTGGTTACGCTAGCGATTCGATACTGTTCTTTCAAATGTTATACGTTTAAAATGTCACGTCAGACTGAAAACGGCAAGATGAATTCCCCTGAAGAATTTGTGATCAAATGTCTTAAAAATTTCGCGCCAACCCCATAGCCAGTCAATCATATATGCACGACCAGCCCGTAGCGCCACTTTGCCCCTCATATCAAGCAGCAACGCTCTGATTGGTCTGTCGGAATGCTTAGGTTTAGCTTTTAGGTCAAGGCAAACAAATCAACGCTAAAAGCAAGGAAACAAAAATGAGTTACTTACATTTCTCAGGGAAAGGAGGACGTCCTTAGTTTCCCTTGCATTCTCCGTAAGTGTGCATGAGCTGTATTTTGATCTGACCGAACGCTTTCGCGACGCCACGGTTTTCCTGACCAGGGAACGATCCCATTTTATGTGTATTTGTCGTAATGTTTCTTATTGGCTTCTGGGGAACAGATTTAATGTTCGCTGACTTGAAGGTTATCCCGTCATCGGTACCTGGGTAATTAAACTTAGTTAAATTTAGCATCTCAGTCGTATACTCATACACAGAATTCGCATGCCTTTTCTCGCTGCAATTAAGAACGTGTCCACGACGGCACCGGGCGTGATACATGCCATCTTACTGATTTCAATGAAACTTTGCCAGCTGAAAGGATCTACCCCAAAACTCAAAATGACAAACTGGTTTCTGCTTTGGTTATTTCCGGGGGGAGATAGACCATCCCCCGGTTTTTTTTAGGTTTTCAACTACAAAAGTGACCTCAAAATAGGTAAAATTTTGGAAGCTCTTACTGCAGCTGTATTTAACAAATTACTGTGACGATTTGCATACATATTGGTACATCCTTTATGAACGCACAATACAAGTTTCAATCGATTAGATTGACGGCTTGTCAATCAACAGAGGTGAATAAATTAGTGTGTTTTTACACTTTTCGATTCACTCAAATATTTGGTAACTTTGAGATCAAATATCTTCCCTTGCCAGAAAGCTACAACAGTAATTTGAACGCCCATTTCTAGTCCATTATTTCATCTCTGAAAATCATTAAAAAAATCTTTGAGCACTGCCATATTTTTGTCTGGAATGCCTTTTGAATCTGCAACTTTGAAAGCTTCTCTCAACTACACCTGTCACGCAATTCTAGCTGTAGGCAGTTATTTAGGCAAGTACACCATCATTTTATAGCTCCGTCGTTAAACAAGCTAATTAATCAAAGAAGCTAAGAAATGTAAGCAACTGCCCAGATTCTCGGTTGAAATTGGAAATATCACGTTTAAAGTGAGGCATGTGGGCGAAACGACTAATTACAAAGAAACGATATAATTACAAAATAAATATAAAAATATATGATAACAGAAAACATTTCATTTGCCTGGAGCGTAAACACTATGTGAATTATTTAGGTGTACTCATCGACAGTAACCTTACCTGGAAACATCATATCAGCCAAATTGCATCAAAAATAAGTAAAGGCATTGGTATAATTTGTAGATTAAGGCATCTTGTACCATATTCGACATTACTAAATATATATAGATCACTCATTTATCCTTATTTATCATATGGCCTTGTCGCTTGGGGCCAAGCAGCTAAGTCTCATATGGAAAAAATATTGATACTCCAGAAAAGGGTTGTGCGATTAATGAACTTTGCCAACTATAATTCACACGCCATTCCTTATTTTATATC